GGGAGAGGTGATCAGGCAGGATATGGCGAGGCTCCAGATTTCCGAAGACATGACACTTGATAGGAAGATGTGGAGGTCGAGTATTAGGGTTATAGGTTAGAAGATAGTTGAGTCGTGCCTTACTTCGTACTATTGTGGGACTAGCCATGTAGGGTTTTTGTCTAAGATAGCTAGCGACAATGTTGTGTCTTACTATTTCGCTTTTCAGTGCAGGTCCTATTTACTAGCTATCGCTTTTGCTTTGCATCTTTCTTCTAGATTTCATGGTGTTTTTATTTTTCTTATGATTGTTGTGATGATATTAATATTGTCTCCCTTTGCTTTGCATCTTTCTTCTGGATTTCATGGTGTTCCTATTTTTCCTATGATTACTGTTGTGATACTAATATTGTCTCCTTTTTGTCCTTTTGTCTTTTTATTTTTTGAGCCGAGGGTCTTTCGGAAACAACCTCTCTACTCCTTCGAGGTAGGGGTAAGGTCTGCGTACACACTACCCTCCCCAGACCCCATTAATGAGATTTTACTGGGTTGTTGTTATTGTTGTTGTTACTAAGTTGGCTGAATTTGGAAACTAACAAGGCTACGAAATGCAATATGGCTATTGGTTACTAGTATTAATAACATTAGTAATCCAATTTCTCAAAAAACAACAAAAAAGGCAGTACTCTGCACTGCCCTGACAGTATTAGTTTTTTGTTTCAAGAGGTTAACATCCGCTCTGTGCTATCAGAAGCTAGATGCATTTCCTTTTAGCATGTATTAAAAGTTATAACGCCAATACTAATAGAGATTATAGGTTGTAAAGTTTAGTTAAGACGAACTCATTTGGTTGTCACAATCCTCTCATTTGATTTCACTTGAATTCTTCAAGGAGAGCTTTGCCTCAATGAATTACTGTCAACTGTGTTTCTAGTACACTTCGCAAACAGCCCCAATAACGACAATCAAGTCCCACTTTAAGTGAAAAAATAGGAACCTGTTTATTCTTACGATAATAATGGAGGTTGCTCGTCTACATCAAGTGTTGAAAAAAGGACAATAGAATTACAAAATTGACAGGAATATAACATGAACAACTATTAAACTATTCAAAGAACTAGGGGGCTCAGTCTACTGCTGCCTGCACTTTTGCTGAACTAAATGAGCATAGGAGTCATCTTTCGCCGCGGTGCATTTCGCCCCTGACCGAGTTAAAATACCATAAACAATATCCAAATACACTCTCTCTATTAAGCTGAAGAAGCATCTTCTTTGTGGTCACCAAAAATACGTTGCCTAAAGTCTTGCACCATCATAGGCAGTCCTTTCTTGAGAGCCACTTTTGGTTCCCAACCAAGTAACTCTTTAGCCCTTGAGATATCAGGCTTCCTCTTGTGTGGGTCATCCTCTGTGTTTGGTCTGAACTCAATCTGAGCATTTGGATCAATGGTTTCCTGGACCACCTGCACCATAAATGATACGTGTCACCAAAATGTGGTAAACTGACTAGGATTTTTAGGTGATCTGGTAATGTAAAAAAGATTTAATATTGTCAATTTATACAAGTTAAACTCTTGATAATACCTACTTAGTTCAATCATTTTGATTAGCTGATAAAGTCTAGTTTGATAAGACCTAACCAAGCTGTAAAATGTCAATGCGAAGAAAATATATCGTAAATCTGGAGAATCCAAGACTCAACAAGAGGACTTGGATGGTTGGAAAATATGTCATGCATACCTTAGCAAGTTCAAGCATTGTGAATTCGCCAGGGTTTCCGAGGTTGAATGGTCCAACGTGTTCTCCTTCCATCAAGCGCATAAGGCCCTCAACCTTCACAAGTAACCAAAATAAAACAAACTTTAGATTCATACTCTTAAAAAATTAAAACTCAAGATTATAACCCACGGTTTTTCACTTTTACTACATAATTGGTCTCAAGAAACAACCGACTCCTACTATATCTTGTAACTCTATACACACTAAAACTTACCAACGTCCAACTTTGACAAGTTAAGAAATCTATACTCTACGCTAAGCGAATCTCAATCAACCTCAAGTTTGCTAAGGAGTTGAACACTACAAAGAGTGGGGACAAGTAAAGGTACAAGAGAATAAAAGAAATAGTTTCAACATATATGCACTAATAGCAAAAATTATTTTACATCATCAGGTTAAAATGACAACAACTAACTGTATATAATAACTCTAATTTGATAATCTAGCAAATAAAGTAAATCCTTTTTGAGAAAAACTTGCAATAAAGGTAAATATATGATAATATAAAAATTATTTACATTGTCAGTTAAATCCCGTCTTCTCAACAAAAAAATTATTTAACTTCTCCAAAACAGTTAAATCTAAAACAATTGCTGGTCCCAGCTCTGGCTTCTAGTTGAACATGGCATGTGCTTCCACACTACAATTTTTATCCTTGTAACAGGCCCGGGACCCTTTAGGTCCAAGATATTAAAAATGGTTTCTTTTCATGTCGTATAATGTATGGTGCATTCTAACAAAAGAACTTTTCACGTTGATATATTGAAAACAATGTTTATTTAGCAAAACCAGTTTGCATCTAGATGGCAACGTCAATTATTAAGGAATCTTCCATTTGAAAGCCACTTTGAGAAGCAAGCAGTGAGGCATTAATACTGGAAAGGTAACAACATAATTAAATAAGCAAAAAGTAGGAAAAACAGAAAAAAGTAGAGTGCATTACCAGATCTGAAACAAATTGGAAACTTCTTGTCTGCTTCCCATCTCCATAAACCGTCAAAGGCTCCTTCCTTAAGGCCTGTACGCAATGTGAAATTATGGTTTACAAGAATGCAAATATCATATTTGCTTTTTTGCTTCTTTTTTAATGCAATTTAAGAATCCATTAAAGTTCAACATTAGATTTTTATATTTGGGTAGGTGGAGAAGTTCACCTGAGCGACAAAGTTGCTGACAACGCGACCATCATCAATGCACATACGAGGTCCATAGGTGTTAAAGATCCTAGCAATCCTCACCTGCAACCACATGCATACATCAACATAATTTTAGAATAGCAAGACAAGTTTGATTAACATACACTTTAAATTTTTTTTCACAATCAACTCATCTAAAAGCCAATTACATGTAACTTTTTATATCAAACATGGACTGGTAACCTACAAAATATGGTAATCGACCAAGTATGTGTGCAATAGAGAAATACTACATCTGTCTCCAGAGATGTGGTTAAACTTTTATATTTTTGCTTATTTCTGAGCATTTTTTTGTCCATGTAATGCCAGAAAAATTACAGTTACATTATCTATGGAGTCTAAACTATCAATAAGTGTAAACTTCAATTATAAAAGATAACTTAGTTAAACTTCATTTTAACCTCGAATATGGATTGAAAATGGAAGGAAAGTACGAACCTCGACGCCAGCACCTCTGTGGTAGTCCATGGTCAACGTTTCAGCCGTTCGCTTTCCCTCATCGTAGCAACTTCGGACACCTGTTATTCACCTTTCTTGGTCAGTACACCCCACTACTCACACATTTGTAACTATTCCAGATTTACATTAGAATATACACACAAAAAAGAGAGACTAAAAAGGGACCGATACACAAAACATTCCTTGTTCATCCGGGATCCGAAGAAGGACCGCACAATCTGGCTAATTTCACGGCTTAAACTCGTGACTTATAGGTCACACGGAGACAACTTGACCGTTGCTCCAAGTCTGCAAGACAACTTGGCTTTAAGAGACTATTATCCTAAATTATCATATCAGCGGGGAATTCATGTTATAATTCAACTGCATTATTTATTTTTTTATGATGGTGATGTTCGAGCCAATTTGTTCATATACCAGGTACTATCTCCCAAAAGCACTTTATCGGGTAATTCTACCCACTAAAACTTAGGCCTATGAGAAATTATCTAATGATTTTTGCTTTAGTTGAATTTGAATTTGAGACCTGTTGATTCTCTGGCTTTATCAACTAAATCACACTCTTTGGGCGTAATTCCACTACAACATTCTGTACGAATTCATTAACTCTTAACAACTACTAGTCCAATTACATTTTTTTCCTCTTCCTTTATGGTAAAACTATTCGTGTTTCATATTTTAAAAAATTGAAAAAAAGAAGAGAGAAAGACAAAAATATAGTATATAATTACTTACTAATTTATTTTATTCTAGGACAAAACCTAATAATAAAAGACAGAGAGAGAAGATTCAAGAGAAAAGGGCGCGCCAATTAAATGAAAAAGGAAAAGATAGTTGGAATGAAGCGGCGGGACCCGCAAATCACGATTGAACAGTTGACAAAATTTAATTTCCCGACCGGATCTAAGGAAAGAGAAGTTCATTAGTTGTCATCGTCGTTGAACACGTGGCTCCACATTCATACGACGCACGACTCGGTTCCTTAAAAAAGTCTGCCAACGCTCACGTTAGTCACAACCCTTGAGACCCAACACTAACGTGAGCCGTACCCCTTCATGTTCATTGTTGTGTCCCAGACACATTACCAGATTTCATTTCACCAGCAAAAATAGCTATCATTATTGTAATAAAAAACAAATATAAAAAAACGAAATTCGTTTAAAATAAAAAAGAAACTTACCGATGGGATTAACATTGCCCCAGTATGTCTCTTTCTGTGGATGTTCTAATGGATCACCGTACACCTCGCTGGTGCTCGTTAGCAAAAACCGCGCACCGACTCTTTTAGCTAATCCCAGCATGTTCAATGTCCCCACCACATTAGTCTTGTAAAATTACTTCGTCAAGGATTAACATAATTTTAATCCAACATTAATAATAATACAACGTATAAAAAATTGAATTAGAAACCATAACACAACACAAATTAATATTATGAATAGTAATGACGAAAATAAAAAGGATATAATAGTCTTGACGGGGTTATGCTTGTAATGAACAGGGGAAGCAGGGCAAGCAAGGTGATAGATCTGGTCAACTTCAAGCAAAAGTGGCTCAACGACGTCGTGTCGAATGAGCTCAAACCTAGGGTTACCGAAATGGTGCATAACATTCTCTTTGCGACCGGTGAAAAAGTTATCAACGACGATCACGCTATCACCTCTAGCAATCAAACGGTCCACAAGGTGGCTACCTACAAAACCGGCACCACCGGTCACTACGATCCTCAAACCCTTACGTTGCAAGCCCAACGGGATCTTCCCGCCCGAATTGAACGACCCGAATCCGGGTCGGTTCTGGTAGATCATACGGTGAGCCACCTGAGACTGAGTCGACTCGGAGGGTAAGTAGGAGTCGTAGATCGCGTAATTTAAGCTGCCCGAACGAGACGAGGGCAAAAGGGCGAAGATTAAAGAGGCGATAGCAATGCCTACAAATAGGAAAACGATGCGTTGTTCGCGTAACAAGTAACGAACGGGTCGAATTACACTCAACCATGGCTTGTCTGGTTTCGGAGTGTAAACGTCGGGAACCGGCTGTGATTCCGGTCCCCGGTAGATCAATTCAGAAGCCATAGTTATATTATGGGTATTTTTATTGACCTCCCTTTCTTCTCTCTAAAACTTTTCTGTACTTTTTTTTTTGTATATGCAGAAAGAGAGAAAAAAGCTGGCCTTTGGATAGTTTGTGGAAATTGGAAATAAATATAGCTGGGACAAGAGGATTTTTCGCCGGGAATTCTCACTCACACTATGGGCTGGCGCGTGGAGCTGGTTTTTGAAGTTACTCTGACTTTTTTATGTTGTTTTTATTAATAGGGTCACTGTTTCGTACTGTTTTTAATAGCCACCTTTTCGTACGTTATGGTGTATTGTGTAATTGTTTTTTTTTTTTTTCGTGAGGAGTGGGATTCAATTTTGAATAAATCCACCAAAGATGGCTTTACTTTTCTGAGATTTGGATTCATTTGTTTTCTATTTTTTTTTTTACTAATCTCGACAAAGTTAAGACTATTAATTTCATAGAGAAAAATATTTTTCAAAATTACAAGTATAATACAATAAAAATATGATCATTTAACTGAAAATAAAATGTGTGTCCTAGCGGTTAATAAAGTGATTAAAAATTATGAAAGATCATGATTCATATTTCAACGGAGACAAAAAAAAAATATTAGGTGGCTTGCCAACAAAATTATGTATGTTGATAGCAAGTATTCGACGAAAGTTATCAGAGCGTGTTTAAGTTTGCTTGGATAACAGTGTTGTCAAAAAGAATTTTTGATCATATAGTCCGAATTTTTTAAGGTAGAAGATGAACTATAAACATGTAGAAAAAACTTTCCGAAAATCTTTTTTTGGGAGGGGGATTCTTAAAAAGACGTGTGTGGTTGGTTATTAGTTTCTACGAAATCAATCCCACCAAACATTTCTCAGTTTCAATTTTTTGTAATCAACAGATTTGGTGTATGTTCACAAGTTATGGTACCTCATTTTCTGTAACGGTGAAGAATGTTTAGTTCATAAATAAAGTTTGAAAAAAGGGGAATGAGCAAATGAATTAGTATTGGTAATTATTTTTGGCTACATTGAAAAATAAATTACTTAAAATCTCTTGTAAGCTACATTGTTGGTTTGAAAAAACTTCATATACTTGAGCGGGACATCCCAAATTATCAGAACTGCTTCATGTTACATAAATGAAGTACTATAAATTACTAAGTTTCAATTTTAATTTTGTTATCAAAGTAAGTAGCAACGTGGTACCATTGACACTCCAGCCCATTTACAGCACACGTATATGGCTTTTCCCAAATGAAAGAATAATCTTTGTATATGAATGAAGTTGAATGTCGGAAGTTCATTGATTATAGATTTAGGACTATGTCATTGCGGCCCAGTTGAATTTTCAAAATCAGTATTAAAATCTGTTTTAGGTCAACTAACTTCAATTAAAATAATTAAAACCCACATTTATTTTATGTTTCCAGATTCCGGTGCACCATTCAGTATTTTAGATCCAACTTATAAGAGGTGCAAATACTCATTTAATTAGGGATCCATGTACAATGCATCTTCTTAAATGTAGTTAATAGAGGCACCTTTACCTGGGTTTTAGACCAAATCACTTAATTATGATTAATTATATATACTTTATTAAATTATTTAATCATGATTATAGTTTTCCCGGTGGAAATATCTATAGAAAAAAGAGGAATGACCTGTAAAAAGTGGATCTAACTCTTGTGAATACGGTAATATATCTTAAAAATAATTCCACTGCATGGTTACTTTCTTCTGAATGAAGGTGCCTTGCTTTACTAAAGGGTACTTAATATTAAGCAGGAAAACAATAAACATAGGAAGTAATTAAGGAGGAATGTACTCTGCTTTACTAAATGCGTAATAAAAAATTAGACGTTGTGGATATTTTGTTAGCTAATAAATGGATTATGATATTAATTAATTCCTAACCTTAGTTTTTTACTAGTTTCGTGACTATACCTACAGGTAGTAATTTCAGATAAGCTAAGTCAACCTTTCTAAGTGTCATCTGCAGTAGCGTTCGTTAGATCTAATTATGGTTCCTACGTTCATATTTCTTTGGTGTTTTAAAGTATATCCCATTGTTAATCCTCCCTTTTTAAATAGACATTCGTAGCTTTTGTAAAAATAAAATATTCGATTTAAGTGATCTCCTTGACTTGTTAAAGCACACTTATTAAATTTCACGTATTGTATGACAGGTTCGAGGAAATTTCAACATTATTTTTATAATATTTTTAGTGTTTAAACAATTATAGGCTAGCACCGTCTGTTCTTCAGTCAGAGAAAGATCATCAATACTTTTGGCCAAACAACTGTACAACTAGTAACATTAATTATATACTGAGATGTGAGAAGTAATTAGTTTATGCCAAATTGCAAAGAGACAAGCAAGGTTACTAGAATAAGTAAAATAAAGAAAGCTCGCCAAAAATGGGCCTTATTCTCTCTTTCACATGTCCCAAAAATAATGGAGTACTACTACTCAATATATAGTGAATACTAATGAAATAAACAGCTAACAGCTGTATGAGAGTTAGACAAAAGAAGAGTACTTAGGTTTTACCTGACGGAACTACCAGCTATGTCTATTTATAAGTAATTTATTATAAAAATTAGTTAATTCATAAAATATTATTAATATTAGTCAAATATTAATAATATTAGCCAATTAGCAATTTGTAGTCAAAAAAGGTTAATTTTTTATTTTCTTTTGAGTGAGTGTTATTAGAATATATTGGGGTACATCTTAAACAGTTTGAATATCAGTTTTGGAATGATTTGGTGGAGTTTCGAGGTGGTTTGAATTGAAAATTCGAAATAGAAGATGAACATGAAAAAAAATAATGTGTCACATTTTTGTATCACATGTATTTAATTAGTATCAAATATGTATCACATGTATACCTGTATGTGATACATGCGTGATACATGTTTGAATACATGTGTAGCAGAAGAATTTTTTGAACTCGATTTTAACTACGAATTTTGATACCAAATCAGNAATTTTCTTTCTGTCTTGCATGTAATGTTGCTAATCACGCTTAAAAATATGAAAGAAGATATTTACGTGTAATTCTTGTAGAGAAAGAACTTTATTTATTTGAGTTTTTAATTTTTATATATGCTTGACTAGTTTTGGTAAGTCTATGATCAATGATAGTGACATAGCCAGGAATTTCACGAAGGGTGTTCAACCTTTGGATAAGTAAATAATTTTTTTTATGAATGGGTGCACCGAATTTTTTAATAATAAAATACACAATATTTAGCTAAATCATAAAAACGCTTTAACATAATTAACTATTGTATAAATCAAAACCGATATAAAGGAATCAACAAAAAAAATATTACTACTGAAAGCATAATTTAAATATATTATTACAATTGTACTCGACGAGGTCTCATCTCTTGAAATATTTTTATAATAACCTCATTAGAAATAGTACGAAATACTTTTTTTTCTACATAAGGCACTATGCAACCGTCCAAAAATTCATCATCCATTTGATTCCATAAGTCATTCTTGATAAACTTCATTGCAGAAAAAACTCTTTCAACGGTTGCAGTGGCAACTGGCAGAAGCAAAGCAAGTTTCACTAAGCAGAATACAAGAGGATAATTAATATTCTTCTTTGTCTCAATTAGTTTTTTTGAAAGTTCACTAAGTCCACCTAAATTGGAGAACCTTTGATCAATATCACGTACATCAACAATATAATTAGCAAGTTGATTCTCAAGGACACCCAAATTAAATTCATCAAAGTCATAAGGATATAATTTAGCCATTCTCACTATCTTCCTGATGTCAAAACTAGAAAATGAATCAACTGGATTCAAGAAAGCTACTCCATGAAACAAATTACTTGTCACCTTATTGAAACGGTCGTTAAGTTCTTGAAGTTGCCAATCAATAATCTTATAAAACATATCCACACGATAATGATGTAAAATAGTATGATCAACAAGTTTACGTTGTGATCTTCCAGAGTTAGCATATGGCTCATCAAAATTGGGTATTAGAATATCATGCCTGATACAAAATATAAATACCTTATTTTAAGTGGATCCCATCCATCAACTCTTAACTCTTGAAGCCTTTGTTTTGCTACTTCAACAAGTATCATGGCATTAGCAATATCTTGCTCCTTTTTCTGAAGCGATTAAGATCAAATGTGATTCCCAAAATATCTTTCATAAAATGAAACATGAAAGCAACCTCAAATTCAAATTATGTCTCAAATTCGTATATACATCCACCAAATTTTTTCTTATTTAAAAAAAAAAAAAACAAATATATGTTCAGGAATGATGAATCGGGTCATCTAAGTATCAGTTATTTTATTCTAGTTGTAAATTATTTAAGAGATTTAGAAATATTTAGTAAATTTTCAATCTCTAAAGACTCTAACAATAAAATTTAGATTATAAATTGAGCCAAAAAAAAAAGAAAGAAAGAAAGACAGAAGAGTCTAACCTGAAATTGAATCAGATTCAGAGTTAGAGTGCAAGATTTCACGGGCATCCGACAATAACGCAGCAGGCTAGCAAGGCAAAAAGCAAGGGATGGTCTTTTGTTTCTCTCCTCTGTGTTTTTTCTTTCTATTTTGACAAAGTTAGGTTTAGGTCTAGTAAAGAGCTTTTAGAATTTTTTATTAAGTAACTTTCAATTAAATAATGATCTTTAATATTTGTTTATTGAAAAATTAAAAAAGAAAAAGAAAGTCAAAGTTTGGTTGGGATTTGAAAAAGAACGACACTTCTACTTTGGAAAGGAATACGTGTCTAAAGGTTACACTTATATTACTTCTTGACAGTATAATAATATAAAATAAATGGGCTGTACCAAAAGCTTGCATTGAGATTCAAACCTACAATCATCAGAATATTTTGCACACCCTTCACCATTGCGCTATCTCACCCGATTGTGTCAGGGGTGTGCAAGCTATTGTATATATTAAAATAGAACAATATTTTACTTATATGCGTAATATAATTTTCCGATGAAGGGTGTGTGTCTGACTACCCTTAGAGCACTGTAGCTACGCCACTGATCAATGGCTAAAGGTTGATAAGTTAGAATTTATTTGGGACATTTGTGTAATATTCCCTTTAACTAATCTGCAATAAGAAATTAACAAGGAAAGTGATGTGTGACTTGCAATTACCTTAAAACAGCACAAGATCGCTTAGTTGTTATTAATGAATATAATGTGTCTGCCGCCCAAAATGGAAGCCCGAAAGCTACTCAAAGGCGAACATTTGGTGGAAAAAGAATATGAACATTGACATTTGGTGGAAAAAGAATATGAACATTGAGTAATTTGAACGCTCATTTTTCTTGAAAAAATCAAAACATATATGTACATCCATCCCCAATTCCCCATTTCTTCACCCACCCCAACCATATTATATTCTGATACTCCTGGTTATTACCTTCATAACATTGATTGAAGTTGCAACCTTCTAGTTACCTTAAAAACCACCTTCGGGCGAAGCTATAGTTGTCTAATAGTTTGTTTGACCAAGTTTTTTTTTTCCGACCAAAAGTGATTCTTTTTTAGCCAAAATTATTTGTTTCTAAAGTTAATGTGTTTGGCCAAGTTTTCAGAACGAAAAAAGATGTTTTTGAGTAGAAGTAAACAACAATAACAACAATAAAAAACCCAGTTTGATCCCATAAATGAGATATTGGGAGGGTAATGTGTACGCAGACGGACCTCATAGAGATAGAGAGGTTATTTTCGATAGACTCTCGGCTCAAGGAACAATGAAGAAAAAGCAACCAAGCAGCAGAGAATATTCGCAATAATGTAACATGGTAACGGACGTGAATGCCATGGCATACATAATAAAAAACCATAAATAGGAAATCACAAAAATAATCCTAGTACTACTGAGTAGAAGTAAAAGTAGTTTTAGAGAAGCAGAAAAAATAGCTTATTCCCAAAAGTACTTTTGAGAAAAAATACACTTAAAAGTACTTTTTAAAAGCTTGGCAAAATACTAATTACTGTTCAAAAGTAATGTCAAATGAAATACAAACTACTTCTCACCATAAATAATTTTTTAAAAAGAATTTTTGAGAGTTTGTTTAGCCAGGATGCCAAAAACTATTTTTTAAGTACCTTTGTTCAAAAGTCCTTTCCGAAAAAATAATTTTATAAAGTAGTAGTTTGTGTTTGGCCAATTCATTAGTAGTGCTTTTTGCAACCAAATTGTGTTTGCCAATCATTTCAAAAAGTACTTTTGAGTATCAAATTACAAAAAATGACTGTAAAGGTTCAATTTGCAAGTAGTATTATTTAAATAAGATAAATAAATTCGAATATTTATTTTAATAAAAATATAATTTAAAGGTTTCAATCAATATAAAATATAGTAATTTCAAAGCGATAATATTACAGTATCTAATATAGTTGTTGTTTACATGATGATTTAAATATATTAAAATATATCACTCAATATAAATTAAAAATCTACTCTTATAAATCACTATATAAATGAAGATATCTATTTATAGTAGAGAGAATATTCCAAAGAGAAATAGGAGAACGAGAATAAAAAAGAGAAGAAATGTATGGTAAAAAGAGAAAAAGAAAATAGAAATGTTAAATTATGAGGGATAATTTGAAAAATATAAATTTAATGTAAGGATATTTTGTCACGCCCCAGACCTGGGGAGGCGAGACCGGCACCCGATGCCTCATTTGAACGAACGTACCAAACTGAGACTAAGGGACTCTCAACATATAATGTGATACTTTGGCCGGCAATGCCACATTGCACAATAATTTGTGAAATAAAATATAAAACTGAACGGAGACTAGTTCCAATTGAAAATCAGTATAAAGATAGGTCGGCAAACCCGTCATAACCACTACATGTGACAAACCAAAAGAATATACATACAAGGCCTACAAGGCCAACATACTGCACTGACTGACAGGATATGTCTACAAGCCTCTACTAATGGTTGTACTGTGGTCGGAACAGGGCCCCGACCTACCTATATAATCTCTATGTATATATACAGTATGTACTCAAAACCTTAGACCCGACAACTCCGAATGAAGTGAAACTTACCGATCAAGCTAAACTCGGACAATACCTACTGAGTAGGTCTACCCGCCTGTCTATATGAACCAGCAAGCATGAAATACAGCGTCCTCCGTAAAAGGGATGGCAATACGAAATAATATACAGAGTATGTAAGGAAATAAAATAACCGAAACTGAAACTGAATTGATAATATAATAATTGAAAGTAACCGGGAGCCAAATATGATCTGAAGATATGCTTACCTGCTAATACTGACTCAACTTTCTCAATATAGTAAGTAAATAACCGGCCGACCCTATAAGGCTCGGGACGTGTAACTTCTTTATCGTATTAGGCTCACTCATAAGTTCTCGGTCATATTAGGATCGGTAACGCGGCCATTCTGGACTCGCTCATAGGCGCTCAGCTACAGTAGATTCGATATATAACTTACCATCTGATTTGAGGTTGCCTAATTAGGGCCTACACCAATTATACCTCGGTGGTAGTGAAAATACTAATACTCTCTATATATAGAGACCTTCTACTCTCTTGAATAAAATAGACAATACTTAACTGAATATAAAGTACATAAATTCCGGAATACGAGCTTCTCTTTATGTCTCGTTATCAAACGCATGTTGTTACTAGATCATGATAAAATGAAGGAAAGATTTAGCCTTAACATACCTTATCCATGAGATACAACCGTTGCACAAGTCCTCGCACCTCTTACAGATGGTAATCTATATCATACAAAGGATTGGTATCAATATCGACTTCATATTCTATAGGGAAGTTCATTTAGTCATCTTATCAAACAACTTACGTGCATAACTTCATAGGGTCGTTTATAGTTCGAATTTAACATGTTTTAGCAATAATCTTCATCTTCACTTCTCCTTATTCCAAAAATGCTATCCATATCTTTACAATTTCATTTTGTATCTTAAGTCATGTAAAAACATTCCACACAACATAGCTCAACTTCAAGTTTCATAGTTACTAGCTTCTTCAAAATCCTCCAACAAAATTCGACCCAGCACTTGTACAAACTTAAGATTAGATTAAAGAAGATGAAACTTACCTCAAATATACCAAGAAACATCTGTTCTTTAACTTACCTCAATACCAAGTCACTTCCTAAATCATCACAACGAGAAGAAAAGGGAGCTAATGGTAACCACGATATTCTTTACGTCGAACTTACATAATTTATCATTGGATTCACTCTAGGATCACAGGGGAACTCTTGGAGAGCATCTAGGAGGGTTTAGGAACTATTCTGGTCGAGAAAATGAGTTAAAACTAGTTTTGACTTAAATGCTAGCTGGACTTTTCCACCGACTGGGGGTCCCAAGAGAGATGCTTGTGCAGTCTCGCGAAAACGCAAATATCTTTCTACTCTGACATCGTATCGATGTACGATTTTCATGGGTGGATCACCCCGTAATTCTTATTATATTAAGAGAAAAGTTCTGCTACATTTAACCTAATTTTCAGCGCATTTATGAACGTAACTTGTGATGACCTTTGCCAACTTTTATTTTACAACTTGCTTGAGTTCAAGGCTTATCATACGACTATTATATAATTTAAATACCTTAAAATACGACCTCTTTAGGATACTAAATGCTCCTAGTTTTACCTCAAAAGTATGGGTTGTGACATCTTTGATTCGTTTAGCCTCCAACCCTCATGATACTTCCTTAACACTTATTTTAACCTATCATTATCTTCGTAAAGGTCCTTAAACTCTCCAAGTCATAATGATTCACTTAAGACATTTCAAAATTTTCAGTCATTTGCCTTATTTTTGGTCCACCTTTTCCACTGTCATTTAAAAAACAATATTGCTCTTGCTTGTTTATTCATTCATTTGCTTATTTTGAACTTCCATTATACTTTCATGTGCCTAAACTCCTCCCAAATGTGTTCACTTTGCGTGACATATGCATACTTTTTAAAGATGTTCTCCTTCTTGGTATATAAACACATTCATTAATTCATTATCACAAAGAATTCACTTGTTGAAGAAACTTTCTTAATGTGGAATAATATAAATTATACCACTCTATTTTCAGTTCAAATACACCCCTAAAAACACACCGATTGAGTTGAGAGTTATCTCACTTGGTAAGTTTTCTACCTTTTATGATTGAGGTGAAGGTTTCAAATCCCATCAATAACGTAATATTCTTTTTTTTTTTTTCCTTTCCCCACTTCTGCTATAATAAAAATAATTTTATAAAAAAAGTGCTAATGAAATTAAATAAATACATTAATGGGACTTTCAAACCTTCATGGCAAGTTAAATACATTATAAGAAAAATTTTGAAGACTCGAGGTAACTTTTTATTTCAACATTGTTTCAGGAAAGTCAATGGAATAGCGGACTACTTAGCCAATTTGGGTGAACACACAAAGCAGAGTTCATTCTTCACACAGGATTTGGCTCTCCTTTTGGTAGCTAAAAACTTTTTGAAGAATGACATTAATGGTTGGTCAAGCTTAAGGATTAAAGCACAGGCAAGACACTTTTCTTTTGATTATGGATAATTGTGACACA